CGGGGGGGGGGGGGGGGAAGTCTTAAGAGTATAGTTAGGACTCTGTAAGCTTTTATCATTACTGAATACTCACAGCATTTTTTCTGAATCTTTATGCATAAAGTAAATATAGAGTGCTGTAGGAAAAAATTGAGCCCATCAGAGACAACTCCGATAACAGTAGAGGTTATTGATATTGAATTCCTTAGTTGATAATTATCTCTTTCTGAAATGCCTAATGTTTTTTTAAAAATGGCGAAATGACAAAAGCACACCACTTCCTGAGGTTGAAGTAGCGCAATATCTTTAAAAATATTTGGTGAAACATGCTGTCTTAAATGGGGGTTTGGGGTCCACTGATTACTGTAAAACTAAACTACTCTTAAACAGCTATAATCTATCCAAGTAATAATCAATTTAATCACATTATTCCTGTAGAAAAACTATAAAATAACACTGAGGGAGAAGTAGAGCTCAGAAATAAAATCATTGTCATCATCACCATCATCACACTTCAGGAAAATATGAAAATATTTTTATTTTTTTTAAATGTTTCCTTTTTTTGCATTAAATATGAGAAACTGAAATGAAGGCACAGATTGTGCCTAAAAATGGTTTGGCCTAAAGAAATTAACACTTAAAATTCACACAGATGAATTTGAAGGATCACAGTCCAAAACAAGGGAAGGAATGTATTTCTTACTCCAGAGTGGAGAACCTGTAGCATTTTTCCAACCAGTCAGCATGACCAAGCCACAGCTCTTCCATTTCAGGGAAGGAACATTGCTCTGTATATCCAGGGCTCATCTCCAAGGCCTCTTTGCTGTGCTTTCCTCTCTTCTTAGAGTCAGGAGGAAATCATGATGGTATAAATTGCACTGCCCCACAACTTGCCTTAAAGCACAGCTGGAGCAGGGCCACGTTATGCTGTGGTTTCTACAAGTCCTTCATGTGGCACTGGAAAGGCACCGATTGGCATTTTTTCCTGAGTCAAAAGGTGCCAATCACCATACAGAATGTATGCCAGGGTGGTATGTGTAAGGACAGAGCCCTGCCTGCCTGCCTGCCTGCCTGCCTGCCTTTTCTAAAGGACTGTCAACCTATCAACCTAAAACTACTAGATGGCAGTAAAGAGCTCATCTGTCATCCAGGCAGCAGTCACCTGGAGACATGGAGTCCAGATGCAGCTGCTGAAAAAGTGTTTCTGGAGCTGAAATTCAATAAGGGAGGTGGGTGCGTGACAGAGCTACATGTTTGTTTGTTTGTTTTAGCTCTCAGGTATATTCATTTGCCTTTGAACTGTGGTGCTGGAGAAGACTCTTAAGAGTCCCCTGGACTGCTAGGAGGTCAAACCAGTCAATCTTAAAGGAAATCAACCCTGACTGCTCATTGGAAGCTCAAGCTCAGATACTTTGGTCACCTAATGCGAAGAGAGGACTCTTTGGAAAAGACCCTGATGCT